CCCAAGTAAGTTGTTGTTTGGTCAGGTACGCGTTCTCTCTCCCTTTCTCTCTCTCCCTCTCTCCCTCCATCACCTGTCTGTCTGTCTGTCTGTCCTATCTATCTATCTATCTATCTATCTATCTATCTATCTATCTATCTATCTATCTATCTATCTATCTATCTACCATCTGTCTTTATCTATCTATTATCTAGCTATATATCTATCATCTATCTATATCTATCTCTCTCATCTGTCTGTCTATCTGTCTCTATCTCCCTCTCTCTCTTCTGGGACATCTTATAGTAAACTGACAGAAAACTGAACTCCTGGAATTCTTCTATAAACAGGAAAATACTGCTAACAGAGCCGTAGGAAAAGGCATCAACCAGAGAAACTCGGCTATGATATTAAGAGAAGAAATCCAGCAACATAATGTCCATTCACTTCATTACGTCATGGCTCTGAGTTTAGGGAAGAGGCCAAACACAGAGAAACACACAGGAAAAGAGCCTAGAGATGTCTTCCGAGTTTAAACTTTGAACCCAGAGTGTTCTCTGCACACATGTATGTACATTCATAGTGCATGGATGTCCCTGCGTCCCTGCTCTAGAACCTCCAGCCAACTCTTCCCATATGCTCAGCCCGGGCCTCCTGTGACAGGAACAGCCATTCAGAGCCGTATTAAACACTAAGGACACAGACCCTGGGGACGGAAATGCATCCTTCCTTGTAAAGTTAGCCGGCAGTTGCTCTCAGCATAATTCCTGGGACACCCAGTGAAGAGGAAAAGGAAGTGTCAAAGTCATGCTTTTTTGCAAACTTCAAAGGTCGCCCCTCCCCCCTCTTTACATTTTACTGTCTGGGGAGCTGACTCGCCTGCAGCTGTGGGCAGAGACTGTGTCCCTGTGTCAAACCTGCCTCCTCCCCCCCCCCCCCCCGGGCCCATAAAACTACAGCGGGGAAGTGGGTACAGATGTGGAAGGCAGGGAGCATCCTAGTGAAGTCCCTAACACCTCTGGGAGCTGCTCAAGGCAAAGGGCCAGGCCAAGGGAGGCTAGAGAGGTGCCAGGCACACTCTGCACACCTGTGTGCTGGGTTCAATCTTGTGCCACAGCTGAAATGAGGTAAAGGCTCTGCCACCCCCCAACACACACACACACACCAGCACAGCAGGCCCTGTGTGTGCAAACCCTCTGAGCCAAAGACCACTGGAAGCAGAGCTGCCGCCAGAGTGTGCCTTGGATGCTTCACAGCCCAGTTCAGGGATGTCACGCAGAGCGAGCGTGGGTACAAATGTCTTGCCTGCATTCCTCACCGAAGAGAAAGGAGCTGAGGACCGTGATACATGTCAGTAAGACAGCACCTGGGAGGCCAAAAAGAAGACTGTGGGTTCTGAGTCAGCCTGGACTACGGAGTGAGAGAGACAGGGTTGAGGGGTGGGGGTGAGAGGGTGGCTGTTAAAAATCAAATGTGCATGTTTCCCAAGACATCAGAATTTTTTTGCCAGTCACATAAAAACGTAAAACACTTTGTCTTTTCTTTTTTTTCCCCAGTAAAGAGAAACTAGTAATTACGAATTCTTGACCACTATGTCTTACTCATTTGTTCCAATGTCTTGAAGCAAAAGGGGGTGGGGGAGAGGAAACAGATTTATTTACCGCAACCGTAAAGGATTCACATTGGTTTTATTAGGCAGGTCAAGAAACAAACGTGTTTACTTTTTTATTAATTTTTAATTTCTTTGCAAATTTCACATGGATGCAGTGTGTACCATTTCTACTCTGCTCTCTCCCTCCTCTAACTTTTCTCCCCAGCTCGGTTGCCTGATGG